CGCATCGTTGAAACCATGATTGGGACACCTGAGGAAAAGACTGTTGTACCTCTCCCATGCATCCCGAATGGTCTCATCCTCATCCTGAGAAAAATGTGTAATCTGCTTCTGGAGATCAGCTGTCTTGGATGGAGGATGGTAGCGGGTGAGGAACTTGTCCGCCAGGTTGGCGAACGAGGTGATGGAGCCCGGAGGTCGAGTGTCTAGCCACTCCTTGGCCTGCCCCTCCAGAGTGAATGGGAAGTACCTCAGCTGGATGGCATCTGCCGGTACTCCATTGATCTTGATTCCATCGATGAGCTCGTGGAATCGCCTGAGATGTGATCGAGGGCACTCTCCCTCCTTACCACGGAACACTACTGAACCGCGCAGCATGGTGATCACGGATGTGCTCACCTCAAAGTTGTTGGCTGGGACCTGAGGGTGTTGAATAGGTGACCTCATGTCCGCAGCCCTAGCGGTCCAGTAGGATCCCATGGTCTGCTCCCCGGGGATCAGATCGTTGTTCTGCGGATCCCCCATCTCGCCTTCTTCTTCTTCTTCTCCTAACTGCAGCTGTGACAGCGCCTCCTCCGCAGCCAGTCGCGCCTTTAGAGCCCGCTTGAAGTTCCTACAAGTTCGTTCAAGCTCCTGGTCTAATGGTAGTAGATCTCCCGACTGGCTACGGGTCATGCACTACCTGCACACAATCAGTAGAAGCAACCCGTGAAGGCACACAGGTGGAAGAGATAAAATGCAGTAAATAAAAGCTAGAGTAACAAATTATCACGTTTCCCCAATAACCTAGAGGGGTCCCCGGCAACGGCGCCAAAAACTTGACACGCTAAAACACAACACCTAACAATGGCCAAGTGTAACCAATGAAAGGGACTGCAGTATAGGCAAGTTTAATTATCAACCCGGGGTCTAGATCTACTGCTTACTCCGTGATTCTCTATTATCTAGCAAACTAAGTCGAGTGATTGTTGTGAAAAGTAAAAGCAACAAGAAAGCAGTAAATTGTTCGGTTTTCTAAAGCAGGTAAGAGTCACTCGGGATTGAGTCCCCCTAGCCCCTTGGTTAGGTTCAATTGCAATTCCCTGGGTTGATTTACTGTTGATTAGACTGCGGAAGATCCGACAGTAGCTTGGAATCTCTTAAGCTGACCAAGCCCTCTCAGTCTAACTACCCGGCAGACGACTAGTCTTCACCGGGATAGAAAGCTGAGGCTATGAACACAGAACTCCACTACTGGCGTCAAGAACACCAGTACAAAGCAGTAAACTGGCTAACTCTCGTATAGCCAATCTCCTACTATCGAATGAAGAGGCTCTAACAACCTAATCAGATTCTATCTATCTCAGGTTGGAGCAGAAATTGAGACAAGCTGATCAGACTCAAATCAATTCATGAAACATGCATCATTCGATTAAAATCAAACAATAATATCATCCCAAGTCATTACAATCAAATCCCTAACACAAGGAACTAGGGTTCTTCATACCCAAGTGAGAGAAAGGTTCTACTCCATAGAGAGAGAAAGGAAAACAGAAATCAGAGTAGCCATACTCATAAAGATGAGGAAAATCTGCTCTGGGATGTCAATCTTCACTCCTAGGGACGCAATCTGGGCTTCAATGATGAGAAATCCACTCCAAAATAGCTCCTCGGGTTTGTTCTTCGCTCTTTCTCTCTCTAAAACTCTGTTTTTGCCCAGCAAATCGAATTCCCTCTCCTTGGCTCGAATCTGCCTTCAAAAACCCGACTCTGGGCGAATTACGGGCAGAATTACGGCCGTAATCACGTCCTGCCCGTAATTCGCACCAAAACGCGCGTTTCACTTAAGCTGCAGGAGGAGAAGTTACGCCCGTAATTTCCCAATTACCGCCAGTAATTTGGGAATTACGGCCGTAATTCTTGGGGGTCTTGCCCGTAATTTTACCACCGAGAAGAATTGCTGGGGAGAAGGCTCGTCCAATTAATTACGGGCATGCCCTGGCTAATTACGGCCGTAATTTAGCAGGGGCTGCCCGTAATTCTCTCTGTGACTCGCCAATTGACCTCCAAATGACCCGAAACTTGCGCCTTTGCCCCTCTTTACTTGCTAGGACCTGAAATACGACAAAACAACACAACCTAGCGTAAAATAGGCCAAGGAACAATCAATTCGAGCCAAAATGGACAGGAAACCAGAGTGAAAACACGTGCAAATACGATGCTATCAGTAAGAAAGCGTATCATGATGGTATGAACATACCAATATGGTAGGAATGTTGAATACATGATAGTAGTAATACACTGTCTGTCATTTACGCCTTTCATCATTGTTTATCTCAAGTTACCACAAGTTACCACCCACATACCATAGTGATAAAGTATGGTAATTTTTTGTCCTGTATTTTTTTTACCCAGAAATTTGTAGATCCAATATATCATGATGAACTCGTTCCTTCTGAGCAAACGTTTTCAAAAATGACTTAAAAACGAAGAAGTTACCATATGGTATGTAGTTGGTAACGAGAGGTATGAAAAAAAGTTTCTCGAAATATATTGAAAATTGATCTCACTTTGTAGAGCACAACGAACTCGTTCCATCTATGCAAAAAAAAAATTGAAATCCGAGTTAGAACAAAGAAAATAAGAGTCGATTAAAAAAACTAGAAAAAATAAAATGTCTTTAATTCACAACCTTTAAATCTGGATTTTCTAGACCTACTTAGATCTAAAGGTCCAAATTTAGTAGGTCAATAATCGTACCCAAGCCGGTTTATATACTATTTGTGCCAATCATGTGTTCTTTTGGGATGATTTAGATAGAGTTTGTAACCAACTGCAGCATTTACAAAAAAATATTTCGTTACTAATGCAGCGTTTCATCACATGAGGTTATCTATTGTGACTAAATCAAATTTTGGTCAGAGATGGTTTTCTAACGGGGGCGAATGTGATCAAACCTTCGATCAAAAACATTTGGTCACGAAATAATTTTTACGACGAAAATGTGACATTTAGCAACCATTATTTGAAATGCTTTTTTTTGTTATAGTTGTAACACCTTAGGTGAATCCTATTTCGACAAAGTACAGAAAGATTCATGGTTCATAAGTAAGAAACCGACTTTAACTGACAAGACGCATTTTACAATGAAATGAAGGAGTTTTTTGTGAGAACTCCGAACTTAAACGTGCTTAGTGTGGAGTATAACTGCGATAATCGAGGCTAAAACGGACAATATTTTGCTCGGGAGAAGTTCTGTGATGTTACAATAGAGGGATACTAGGATAGTGACCCCATCAGTCGTGGCCATATGTGAATTAGGACATTCGAGACATCGAATGGAGTCGGGGTGTCATTTTTTCCCCCTCTTCGGGTTATGATTTCTTTTATTTATTTTGGTGTATCAAAAGTCAAATATACTTCCAACTTGCAAGCTTTTCATCTGGTCTAGACTTATTAACAAGACCGATCTAGCTATGAATTAAGCATATATATGCTTATTACTAGAACTGCAGAGTGCGGATCAGAGGGTGACTAGCAACAACAATATAATTGACATTGAGGAATGATATCGCTCTCCGACAATAGCATACCCTTATCTTCTCCTCGATCGTGTTCTTATTTCTACTTATCCCAATATCATCATAATGCATTATTGGCCGTATGTGCAACTTTACTCCTGCCCTTGGTGCAGGATCAATAATTCGATATGGGGAAGAAAAAAAAAGGAATAAAAGTAGGGTCCCAGATTCACCCAGAAGATGGACAGTGCTGGGCTGGGCGACATGTTGATGATCCACTTAACTTGAAGATGCAAGAAAGACACCAAACAATCAATCAATAATGGCTGCCTCCCACCTATTTATGAAACGTCAACCATTTAATCAAGTAGCTAGACATTCTTTAAAACAAATCAATCACTCAATAATGCGGGTTTTTATCAACTTTATAACAGGTAGATCTATGCAGTTTGAGCCGGGTATTTATGAGATGCTGGCCATAAATATATATAGGTTCATCTTCTTCTCAATCTCACTCGGACAAGATTCTTTCTTCAACAAATTCATTTGGTTGTTTTCAGTCGTGGAAGAGGTACGTTGCTATAACGTAACGTAGTATGATGATGATTTATGACTTTACATCCCCAATTATCATTCTCTTCGATCTTTTTCTCACCAGTTACATGTACGATCAAATTGTATGCTCAATATAGCATGCATGAAGATCAAAATCAAATTACAAAATTTCATAGTTTTCATGATGACCAATAATGTAGGCTGAGCGGTTGAGATGTTAGATTTGTTCAAGTGAAATGTTAAGTTTCGAAGTGAAATGAGGTTAGTTTAGTTTTTTTTCCCTTAAATTTTAAAGAGAAATGAATGAGTAACGGTGTGGGAGTGTAATTAGGATAATAAAAATAGAAGTTATATACATGCTCATCTATTTGATAATAGCTACACCGTGTCATGTCTTATGTAATCAGGAACCGAACGCAACACTGATTTACGTCGTGCATAACATTGTTTTATGCGATTCGTAAAAATGTTACGTGTGACGTAAAAATGTGTTACATTTCAAGTAAAATTGCATCATAGTGTTAAATTTTTATAAAATAGATATCATCTCGTAAATCAGAGGTAATTCAATTTTTTAATAAAAACACTAAAATCAAATTAAAAATGAACGAGATATCTTACACTAAAAATAATAAAATTAATGAAAATCGTTATGATCAAAGTTAAAGCAGAAGTTTGTTATTCATGATATCCATTTAGGTTCCCTCAATTTAAGTGATATATGGACATAAGTGATACATTTCCATTTATAAATAATACTAAAATTTTAAGTGATGCCTAATACATTTCTCCTTCCAAACTCAAGTGAAGAAAGATATTTATAAAAAGGAATCAAGAGAAAGAAGATGAAGTCACATCTTAATCTGGTGGAATGTAATGTAAGAAACTGTTGGGTTGTCACCATATATATAATAAGTGGTTCGGAAAAGGACAAAAGTAAGAGAAAAACACAATTCAACATTATTGCAGTAACTTTTTCTTTTTATTGCCCGGCCCGCTCTTCTTCTTTCTATCGGCCTATATATTCAGAAGAGTTTTGTTTTGGAAATCAACTAAAGGGAAGAAAAACGGGTGGCAGAAAGAGAAGAATGGAAGGAGGAGGAGCGTTGCTAAAGAAGCCTTTTCTTGAAAACGGCAACGGCGCCGGAGTATCATCGTCGCCGCCGCCGCCTGCCCTTATCTTCAGCACGTTCGTCGCCGTTTGTGGCTCCTTCACATATGGCTGTGCTGTAAGTACAGATATAATAATTACACAGTATTTGTCGTTACTGTTGATTAAATTATGCACGGTTGTCGCTTAATTATGATTTTAATTGCATGCATATTTAGTTTACATTCCGTAATAGTGGATTCCGGCCACGCAGGAAAGAAAAAAAACGGGTTACTGAAATTTTACGGTGTTTGTTCCTTACATAATTGGTGAGAAAATTATCAAGTTATGACGGAAAATCGTTACAAAAGCTCTAATATAATGTGTGTTATTTTATATATTAATTAGTCGGAATTTGAATACAATTATATGTACAGTTTCTAATTATTCAGCTCACTTTCGTTTTTCTCTCTCTCTTTTGTCTTTGGCGGCAGATATCGTTTTCGTCACCAGCCCAAGATGGAATTACCCAAGATTTGGGACTCTCTGTTGCGGCTGTAAGTATTATATTTTTTTTGGTCTTCTCGTATGTTAATGAATACAAATAACCCTACATTCGGTTTTCATTAGTTCGATTTTCTTCCCTTATCTAGTCGATTTTCTTTGTGAATTTCTTTGTCCTTTTATTTGTTTCCATCATCTTAATTCTTATTGGCAGAAAGAATTTCGTTTCCTTATCTTTTCGCTTTTGCTAAATTGGGTTGCCAGGCAAAAAAGTGGCCAGCAGGAAATATGCCGAAACTATTTCGAGTGCCATTGAAGTTGGAGCAGGAACGATTTTGGCTTTATTCACACGGAAAAATTCCTTAACGGGTGGTTTAGATCTAGGAATATAAATAGGAATATGTACTCAAAATCACTCAATTCAAAAAATTTATTTGTAGGATTTAGCTCAAATAACATGTTTGACAATAATTGGGGTTTTAAAAGTTCAGGTAGAGGTCGTAAAATTTTGGTAGTAAAATGTAATTTTCCATAAAAAAAAATTGGACTTATATGCAAAAAGGTTAATTTTAGGTACTAAATAATGAAATCTATTAAGTTTTAGTGCTAAACTGTAATTTGCATATTAAACACAAACACATGAGACTTGGGAGGGAATGTAGCTCATATGAGTCGGTAGTTACTATAATACCCCTTAATGAATTATGTTAGTGTGGTACTTTAATGGAAGAGTCAACTACTTACCAATCAATAATTATAGTTGACTGCCATACAGGATGGATTTAACAAGTTGGAAAGCCATTAACCAACAATGAAACAAAAAGTTAAAGCCTGTGACCAATAAAAAAAGAAAAAAATTTGAGTAGCAAATGTAAAATAAATTGATAACTGAGGGACCAAACGTGCAAATTCACCTCTATGGAACACATTAACATTGCATATTATGTAAATAGCACTGGATTTTACATAAAAATCTATCTTTAATTGTTTACTCAGAGTTTAATAATTCTTAATTTAGTGTCGAATTCTCCATCATTAAATAAAAATCAATCAACAAACTATGAATGTGCATCGTAAATAATTTAAATATTAATAAAATTTATTTTATATATTTTATTTTTACACCGGACCAACATTGAGCGAAATCTTGCCTACATCACCGCTTGTGTACATATAATTTTGAGTCGACTCTACTGCAGATTGCCCTAATAATGCCTCTTTGTTTTCGCTCACTAGCTTCTTGATTCCAAGTGACAAAAATGATAACCGCCTCTCTTATTAATGTGCAATTAACAAAAAAAAATCATCTCATTAAGTGTTTTTGTGGGAAAATTATTGTCCTTTTTGTTGTATACTCTAAATTTTGAGGGTATATAATATACTATATTTTGATAAGTCTTTCAAAATTAAATTGAAAAATATATCAACAAGTGTTACGAATAATTTGTCCATGCGGCACAATGTTTAATATGTAAAATGGAAATTTATGGTGTATACTTCGGTGGTTTAGTTCGAATTCCAAACATTGGGATTTGTTAGTTGAGGTTCTGAAGTTCAGAAATTAGGATCATACACTAAGACTTTATAAACTATCATTTCAAAATAAAAAGATTTTGGAAACCTTTACAAAGATATGAGTCAAGATCAAATAAATGAACCATCAAACTATGACCATAGCTAAGCATGTTGACTTAGACAAGCGCTGTTATTCATTGATTAAGAGTTATATGTCTTGTCCAAAGGAATATATATACTAGGTTCTTGGAACCATTTTTCTCTTAGTGATTGACGACATTGCTTAATTTGGTCGCTAAATGCTCTCTATTTGTTTTTTTTTTTTTTTTTCTTTTTTACATTTCAATGCTCTCTATTTGTTGATGTTTCATTTCTAACATTTTTTTTAGGTGGTTAGTTTTATTTCTGATGGGGGTTTGGTACTGTGTAGTTCTCAATGTTTGGGTCAGTTTTGACGGTTGGCGGGATGATTGGAGCTCTATTCTGTGGGAGAATGACGGCTATTCTTGGTTGCAAATACGTAAGCTATTTGAATGGAGTTAATTAATTACTGATTAGGTAAAACTAAAATAAAATAAAAGATCGTGACTGACTGGTGTGTGCACATTGGATTGTTGTTGCAGACGATGTGGCTATCACAGGTTTTCTGCAGCATTGGCTGGGTTGCAATAGCACTTGCCCCTGTAATTAAATTTCCAATCTCATGTTGTTTCTTTTAATTATTAATTAACTTAATCACATGAATGAAAGAAAATAATTAACTAAATCTCATGTTGTGTTGCTGCCTTGGAGGAAGCAGAGTTCCTGGTGGCTTGACATGGGAAGGCTTTCAATTGGGTTTGGAGTTGGGTTCTTGACCTACGTGGTAATTTTCACTAACTCGGTACAGTTCGAGTTGGAGTGGTTATTTTTTACACTAATTAAATTACTTCACATGGTTGTGTCGAATGTCGGCTGGTTGAACTTGACATAAGCTGTGCTTTCCAATAAACCAGCTAGAATATAAAAGTATAACCGACATGATCGATTTCTGACCTCTTAACAAAATGATTTTGTTTTAATGAATTTAAATAAAAATAATAATTTGTGATTTATTTCATGAATTTGAAAGTTAAATCTTGATGTTATTTGTTGGATTCAAATATAACACTTGGGTGTTAATGTTAAATATTGTATAATATAATTATTTATTATATTGATTGGAATGTTATATTTTATTTAAATATAAATGTAGATTATAAGTAGCTAGATTGTTTCCAGATATATTTTATATATGGTTAAATTCATTTGTTCTCAATGATTTTCACATTTCTTCATATTTAACTTATTGAACCGGCATGAATCGATTGTAACAATACCATTTTCTAAACCAACGCAACATTTTAAGACAACCTTACTTCATATACTCATTTAGTTTGTTAAGAAAATAGGTCCCCATCTACGTGGCAGAAGTAACACCCAAAGATTCCAGAGGAGCATTTTCATATGCCAATCAGGTAATACGACCGACCAGGCTATATATAAATAAATAATATGAAAGCTGCTGCTAATATAATTTTTATTTTTATGGATCGTCCAGTTGCTGACAAATTGCGGGTGTTCTATTGTTTTCCTGGTGGGAAATTTCATTTCCTGGCGCACATTAGCCCTAATGGGTAAAACCATCTATATTTTTAGTTTGTTTTTATCCCTGTCAATTTCACTGTAAGCTTGTCAGCAAAAAAATTCACTGTAAGCAAGAATCTTTTGCGACAACAAAATGGTCGCAAATATTGTTGTTTTGGCGATCCTTTCTGCAAGTGGTCGTCGTTGAGGAGCTCTTTTTCTTGCCGTGTTTTTATTATACTTTTAATTATCACCGAGAGTTTATCTACACAAGTTAATTTTTCTTCTTCTTATTATTATTAGGTCTTGTTCCGGCGATCCTACAACTCGTGGGGCTATTTTTCATTCCTGAGTCTCCAAGATGGCTGGTGGGTTTATCCGACTAAATTGGTTATAAATTTGATGAGGTGTGAATGTGATGTGTTAATGGTCATGTACATTAACGTAATTTGCAGGCAAAAGTAGGAAGAGGTAAAGAGTTTGAAGCTTCATTGCAATGGTTGAGAGGCAACAACGTTGATATCTCTGAAGAAAAAGAAGAAATTGTAGTAAAATTCTTTCCCTACTTTAAATTCCGTATCTTTCAACATGACATGTCCTTTTTAGGATAACAATTATATCCCTCCTATATGTACTAGTGACCGGTAAATAATCACTTGTGTACTCAATTTTTCCCTCTGTGCAGAATACCATGAATTTTTTGAAAGAAGATTCAGATGCCAAAGTCATGGACCTTTTCCAGAAGAAATATGCATACTCCCTCACTGTGAGACTAATTATTCAACTAAACCTTTAATAAGTATTCCTCCTTTCTCATATCCTCTTTTGAAAAAAAAATTAAGTGACCTTGAGCTAACTTGCCTATGATCCCCAATTTAGGTTGGACTTGGTCTAATGCTTTTACAGCAACTTGGAGGCAGTTCAGGAGTTTCATTTTATGCTAGTGGTGTAATTGAGAAAGCTGGTAAGTAAATCAAGCTTGCTGGCTAGATCAAGTTTCCAACCCATTTTGAATTCTGGAAGAAAAAAAAATTGAGTTCAAGTTTTCATGGCTCTCTACTTACTTTGATGACTCTAAATTTTAATTTATTTTTATAAACCATAAATCTAAGTCGTGTCTTAATTTGAACTTATATATGCACTTCTGATCGAACTTTGGATTCAGGATTTCCAACCAGCACCGGTACCATCATTATTTCATTCATACAGGTATTGCACCAAATCATTATGTAAACCCAACTTTAAAATTTTGTGAACCCAGGACAAAACGTCGTGAAAAGCTACAAAAGAAATAGCATCATCCAATCATTCTGTATCTTTTAGCAACCAGTCATTGGTCGCTAAAGAGTAAAGTATCTCGTTTGTTGTAGATATTTTTGGTTGTTACAAAATGTTTTTGACATATTTTACGTTATTGTAGGTACCATCAGCGGCTGCAGGCCTGTTCTTGATGGATTTTGCTGGAAGAAGACCACTGCTCATGGTAAGTATTGCTACTTAATTAATAAGACACACTATTCAATTCAAATAATTAATTAATTAACTAAACAAAGTACGTAGTTAATGAATTTATGAACTAACTACTTGATGAAACAAAAATATTATGCAGGTTTCTGCTGGTGGAATGTGTTTCTGTAGCTTTCTTATGGGATTATCATTTATATTGCAGGTAATTACTAAATTAGTTTAGATACTCATCACGACTTTGACTCCTAGAAAAAGTGCAGTTTGAGACCAAATATAGTTATTTGATCACAAAAAGTTGGTTGCTAATATTCCTTTAAGAAACAATTTGATCGCAAAAAACCCGCTTTGTTTGGTTTTGTAGTGTGAATTAATTTATGTAGCTCTGATATTGACTGTGTTTGGTTCTTCCAAATTGTTCATCCATATATAGGGGCTTAATGTTTTGAAGGACTTGACTCCAATTTTAACCGTCCTTGGTCTTACTGTAAGTGAAAACATAGGAATGAATTGCTGGTAATTTTTATTTCATTATGAATTTATGATCCTAAAAGAAGTATTTTAATGACTGTGTAGGCATACATAGCAGCTTTCTCAATTGGGGTGGCAGGCATTCCATGGATCATGATGTCTGAGGTCTGGAATATTTTTTATTTTTTCAACATAAAGTTTGACATAAATTCACATATATGCTCAATGTACTAATATTATTTTTTCTTCTTTTTCTTTTATGGAAGATATTTCCCATGAGCGTGAAGGCATTAGCCGGAACTCTCGTGGCATTAGTCAATTGGTCATCTTCTTGGCTCGTCACTTACACTTTCAACTTTATGCTACAATGGAGCCCTGCAGGTAAATATAATGTAATAAATTTTAGTTACGAGGTTAGCATACATTAATATTTGAAGCATATCGGCAAAAACTAGCGTATGTTTGACGTATAATATAAAATTAATGCGTTCACATCTAATGTATGGTTAGATAGATAGTTTGTTCTGAGAATGTTATGTGACTGAGTCCGCATAGTTGTTTTGATTCACAAATGGGGTTTTTCTCTTTTATTGTAGGGACATTTTTCATTTTTGCCTTAGTTTGTGGGGCAATGGTTATGTTCACCTGGAAATGGGTACCAGAGACCAAAGGAAGGACCCTTGAAGAGATACATGCATCAATGGCAGGTTGCTTGCACTAAGAGAGGCAGACCCCCTCTGATAGCATGTGTTGGGATGGGTGACTCCAAATCATGGTCCATGAAATCGTACTGGAGATTGTACCGGAAAAGTCAGCGATAAAATATTTTATGGTAGAATCGTGGTTTAATCGTAGTTCAACCGTTAATATCATTAAATACCATCTACCGATTTAGCCTCCAATACTGATATTTCGTGGTTGAACCGCCGATACGATATAGTTTCATGGTCCATACTCCAAATTCGAGAGAATAGCGGTTGATAATGGTCATATTTGTGACAGCATGTTTGTCCTTATCTCTGTTGAACTATTTTATAATCTACACATAATATAATACACCGAAGGGAAAAACGGGAGTCCCATTTCAAATTTCCTGCAACGAGAGTGAAAGTAGGAAGGACATTTTGGTCTTCACAATGACTTTTTTTTATTCATTAAAAAGACACGTACTGGGATTCGAACCATGACCATTTTAAAGAAAAGCAAGGATCATAACCAATCACACTAAGTACATTTGTTGTATCTTTTTAAATTAAAAACATATAATAGCCGGGAGGAAAAAACCCTTTCCCCATTTCAAATTCTCTGCTCCAGGAGCGTTTGTAGGAAGGGTAGAATAGGGAGTGTCAATTTATTTCTCTTTCCTCTGTGGAACGGGCCAACTTACCGTACACATGCGGATTTAAACGGGTCCAGGAGTGTCAATTTTTTTCTTTAAGCCCTTTTATTTCTCACTGGTGATACAATATATATGAAAAGGCAAAAACAATACTCATTTTTATTGCTAAAAATAAAAAATTTAACAATAAACTAATGCATGGTATCTAATGGGCTAACCGCTAACCATAAAATAAAAGAGTTGAATGGTCTGACCTACACGGGATTTGGCCATCAAGTAAAACAAATGAACATCATTGGTTTGTCATTCTAAAACAAGCTATTTTCTCTGGCATAATATATATTATGCTATTATTTTATATCTTAGTGGCTAAAATATAATGTATTTTAAAGTTATTCAATGGTTCAACCTCGACCAACCCAATTAGTCCAATTTTTATCATTTCAAATAGGAATGGCAATGGGGCAGGTCCGGGGCGGGTATCTCGATACCCATACCCGCCCCATGGCAGGTCGGGTCCAAGTCGGGTAATTTATCACAGGGCGCGGGTAGGGGCAGGTCGACCCGTTGGGTATGTAATTATGCGAAAAACATTAGAAACATTCGTTATTTTCATTAAAAGACCAAGAAAGAAACCATAATATGATAAAATGTAGTTAAATTATTGAAGAAATTGAGGTTTCCACTTATTTACAACTTTATTATAGCTAAAATATAATGTAATAATAGGAAAATCCTAAGTAATTTGACTAAGATTATATATAATATAGGCAAGAACGGGTCGAGAATGGGGCGGGTCAGGGCAGGTCGGGTCGATGAGAGGTACCCATGCCCGCCCCGCCTACGGGGCGGGTTTGACCTGCTCCAAAACAGGTCAAACAGGTCGGGTAAATCGGGTAAGGTCGAAATTGCCATCCCTAATTTCAAATATATATTATATAATTATTTGATATCATAATGATCAAATTATAGTGTATTTTATAGGGAATCGTTTGGTATTTGTTAGTAAAAAACTAAACAGAACGATCTATTTGGTTATTTTAAACATGGGTTATAGGTATAATATGCCCCTCTACTATATCATTTTATCAAACATGCCCCTTAACTATTTTTTACATCAAACATGCCCTTGTACTTTGGAAAAATGATCAAACATGCCTTTTGTCAAAATTTAGATCCAAAAACCGTTAACCACGGTCAAACTTTGGTTTGGACGACATAAATCTCTAAAATATCCCTACTAATTTCACTATAGAATTTTTTTTGGCTCTTTTGTATAGCCAAATAATTCTAATAATTTCACTTTGACGAGACCCAGAGAAATAAAACAGGGGACAAAACTGACATTTTACCTCCCGTTTGCCGATGTTGGGTCGTCTAAATCTCGGTTCAACCATGATTGAAAATTTTTTCAATAGAAATTTTAACAGAAGGGCATGTTAGATAATTTTCCCAAAGTACAGGGGCATGTTAGATATAAAAAATAGTAAAGGGGCATATTTGATAAAACGACATAGTATAGGGGCATATTATACCTATAACCCTTTAAACATTAAAACGATCTTAAACATTTTCAGTTCCTTTTGAATTTTTATGGTTTTATTCTCGAATAAGTGATGTGCAAATGGCGAATTGCATTCATCTCTTTTCTTTCACTATTTTTTATTTTCAAATAGAAAGTTTAAAAGTAAAGAATAATTAGAATTTGGCATGGGTCGGTCAAACATGCTGAATTTCAAGTTTTGGCCCGTTTTGATCAAGTCTAATTTATAATTACATGGTTCCCTGATACCCGATAAAAATCTCAATCCAAACCAGTTTGGCAGGTGAGTCTGTGTTTACCACCATTTTCTAGGATACGACAACGGCGGTTCCTATCCCAAATTGTGTTATTCGTTCTTGATTTCCTTAGATTTTATCATGGCCTAACAAAAACCAGAAAGCACAATGACGACAAGATGAAAGTTTTATAAAGCAAATTAATCGACCAACGAGCCGAGTAAAAGCTAGCAACGATTGTGAGATGCTCATTTCCCGAAAACCGACGGGATATGCGATTTTTTATTCAATTTTCTGGAATTTGGTTTCTATAAAACTTACTCCACCTCATCATATTACCATAAACAATATTGTTTCACAAGGTAACATGTACTTGATTTTTGTTCATAAGGCCGATTTTTGATTCATTGCATCATTCATGTCTCTTTCCTGCTAAAATTCACTATTTTTATCATGAATTTCAAAAAAAAAAAAAAAACTATACAACAATAAGCTATACACCCCATTATATTATCAAATTTTATACCTCACCTTCCTCCGGCCAATTGGCCGGGGCCCACACTAGTTAATAATATTATATTACCATTATAAAAGATGATAATGGTCATATTTGTTTCCATGGGTCGTACCATGAGTCTAACAACACATATTTGTTTACAAGTCAACAATTCAACCATCTTCATTCTTCTATTTCAAAATTTCTGCAATGAAATCGAAAATTTATGAAGGATACATTGGTCACTACAATGGTTTGTTTCTTTATTATTTACCGAAAAAATACATCAACATTGAGATTTGAATCAGGGTGTATTCAAAGAAAGACAATACTCACAATCACTTACACTAACAAATTTGTTGTCTCTTCTAAATTAAAAAACTTACAAGAAGCAAAAATCTAAAAATTAGAGAACCTTTTCACCACGATTAGCTAACAAATTTGTATGGTCTTCCCATTTGTGATAGTTGTGGAATTTGGGAAGTGAAGTCATCTTCTATAGGATTTTCTCCTCACCAAACCTTAGTATGATTCGACTTTTACTAACATCAATGATTGTCCTTGTCGTAGCCAAGAATGATTTCTCAAGAATGATCGGTGCATCAATACACCCTTCTGTGTCCAGAATGACAAAGTCCACAGGGTAAACAAAATGAGCACATCTTACCAAGACATTCTCGACTATACCAAAATGGATCGGTTAGCTAGCTCGATCTTCATGCTTGTTGGAGTGAGTGGCCAAGACTGAGCTCCTTGTAAATCCTCGTAGGCATAATATTGATGATCGAACCCAAGGCAGCTAATGGATTCTAAAAGCTCTCGGATCTCTCATCTTTGGCGGTCTGCTTTCGCAACCAATAGATGTTGAAGCTACTTTACTCATGGTAACCATAGCAAATTCCTCTATTTTCCTCTTTCTCGACAAGATTTCCTTCAAGACTTTGTGTACTTGAGAATCTTCATAACCATCTCAATGAAAGGGATAGTTATCTTGAGTTGCATGAGAGTATCGTTCTATTGAGCACATTTATGATGTAAATCACTTTCAAACAATCTCTTGGGATAAGGTGGCTTTGGAATGTATTCAGGCACATGAATATATTCCTCCTCGATATTGATCTTGGTAGGGACCAATGCAGTCAAAAGCGCGATTCTACCTAAAAGCGGAAAGGGGTAAAATCGAAAAGAGGTGAATCAAAGCGTAAAAGCGTAAGTTTTTATGCATCCTGTATAATAGTTAAAAATATGTTAAGTACGGCATAAACTATGTAAAATATGAGTGCACAGAGTTTAGATAAAAGAATAAATACCTGCAATTCATGTCTAAATTAAAACAAACTATTATCGAGCCATGACCACATGGCTCATCTTTCGCTGTACTCTTCGATCTATCGATCTCCCACCACTACAATAACCACCGTCGTTTCCGCCTCCGCCTCTATATTAATTACATCGTACAATCCAACTCTTTGTCCTAGCCTCCTAGGAACTAATAAAAACAAATGCTTTCCCCTTCATTGACTAGACGACGAATCTTCATAGTTACTGATGTACAATGAAACACAACTACTCAAATTGGTGAAGACTGAAGTGGCGATGGGCTAGGACAAGGAAGAGACAGAAACTAACTGGTTGTGTCTCCTACTAGTGGCGACAGGCGATGACGAGTCCGACTGGCAACGGGCGTTGCCGAGTTGGAGGCATGGAGCCTTGTAGCAGCTACAGATTCTTCGCTGGAAGGGGGCGGACTGCGGCAACGGTTGCGAAGCCTTGCAGCAGATGCGGATTATTCGTTGGAGCCTGGATGGCCTGCCTCACGACGGCGGCGACAGGCGATGACGAGTAAGGAGGGCGGTGGCGGGCCTGCCTCGTTGGAGTGCTGAAAACAGGAGACAACGATTAGAGATTTTGGAAGAGTTTGGCAGCCTCAGCCCGATATCCACCCTATTCCCTTTTTTTTTTTTTTGTCCAAAGTGCTCAAAACGTCATCGTTTTGGTTTGATGGAGGCAGTTTTCTCCTTTGCTTGAAATCGAATAAAATCGGTCTGAAAACGCGATTTTGTACGATTTCACCGATTTTAACGATTCTACTAACACTTTTGAGTGAAAAACGATTTTATTAGTGATTTGAAACATTTTCCTACCCTCGAAACGTAAAATCGTACGATTTTATGCTTTAAAACGCAATTTTGACTACACTGGTAGAGACTATCACTTCTTCTTCAACAAGCTTCTCTTCTTGAGCTACTTCTCTTTGAACTTGCCTCAAAGGTGCTTGGGGTGTTGGACTCGAAACTTCCTTCAACGGCCGAACACTCCTTAGAGTCACCGCATGACATTCTTATTTTGGATTAGGTTCCGTGTTACCCGATAAAGCTCATTCCGGTCTTGCTGCTAAACATTGAGCCATTGAGCTCAATTTTGCTTCAAGATTTTAAAGTGT